TGCATCACCCTGGAACATTTAATATTTCTTAACTGGACAGCCTGTTGATTTATGAACGGTGCAATTAAGGTCATTTCGTGTGCCAGATCGAATTAATGATAAATATCTACAACTAGAGAAATCAAAACGAAAACAGAGAGCACGGAACAATAAAGCAGTAATTACCGAAATATGTCAATCAGATCTATCAAAATGCGTATGTCATGTGACACAGTGATATACTATTGATGATATTCAAATTAGTTAAACTTGTTGGGGACGGTGTTTTACTTAGTGAATGCACTAATAAAGATGGCTAAACATTTAAAGTTCTTATAATATCACTTGTGGAGTGAGATACACTTGCAGGTGCTGGAGCACTCAATGCATTTTCAGAGGAGCAGTATGCATCGATGCAACGTACAAATAATGGGAGTGATTTAATCGTACGGATATGTTGTGGTAGGTTATTCCAGAGTCTAGAAAATTTACAGGCAAAGTAATTCATATAAAGAGATGATTTAGAATAAGTTTGTTTCACAAGTGCCAAGGAATTACGGGTTTCATAATGAGGAGTTTCTGAGTATTGAATTACATGATTGGATGTAAAGGATAGTTTATTAAGTAGTTTGAAGAAAAAAATAAGATTTAGTTTGAGTCTCCTCTTCCATAAAGGGTCTAGCTCTAGTTTTTTACATCTAGAATAAGTTAAGGTACAATCAGCTCCAAGAATACGAAGTTTAAATCGCCTCTGTACTGATCCCAGCCTTAATTTATCCTTTATGCTCGCACTGCTAAGAATAAACGTGCAATATTCTAGAAGAGGTCGAACACAAACTTTGTACATTAAAATTCGTGATTCATTGTTATGAAGGTTTCGAATTATGTAACCTACTAGTCTTTGTGACTTGGAGGTCTGTTTCGATATCTGTTCTGTAAGCGATAAGTCTTGGGAGTATCTAAGTCCTAAATTTAGAACGCATGTCGCTTAGTTGCTTAAAGAGAGTGTTTAATTCACTCTTCATATCATCGATCCTTTTTGATCTTGAGGTGGAACTCATTACTAAATTAGAAAACAGAGTCATGCAGCAGCACGTGTGGTGTAAGACCAGTCCCGACATTATCAGATAGAAAAGGAGTAGCGGAGCAAAAAGAATAGGTAATAACAGAATTGTTAATATCTGAAGAGTTAGAGCTTTTCCGTGCTCGTTTTTTTTGACACTCGATTCATATTGCTTAAAGTATGAATTCTAAAGCTATGTATGAGTTATAAACTAGGACTCAACGATATGCAATCAATATATATTAGTGTTATCGTAACGCAACCTTCAAACGTACCGCACATCACGACTACAGGACCACCTGTATTCTCTAAAGCACGCCGACTGGCCCCCGAGAAGTTAAGGTTGGCGAAAAACGAATTTGACCATATGATAGACTTAGGAATCATACAACCGTCAAATAGCCCATGTGCATCTCCGTTGCACATGGTCCCTAAAAAGGACAGCAACAATTGGCGTCCAACTGGTGAATGCAAAAACCATTCCCGATCCTTACCCGTTGCCTCACATCCACGATTTGACAGCTACCTTGAAAGGTACAACGGTCTTTTCGAAATTCGACTTGGTTAAAGCGTATAACCAAGTTCCTATGGCCACTGATAATATTCTGAAAACCGCTATTATAACGCCCTTCGAACTCCATGAATTTTTACGAATGGTTTTTGGTCTAAGCAACGCAGCACAGAACTTCCAAAGGTTCACAGATGACGTTTTTCGAGGTCTCAACTTCGTACATACGTATGTTGATGACTGCCTAATAGCAAGTCCGGACAGAGAATCACATCTCCAGCATCTGGACCTTGTTTTCGACCGGCTAAGAAAACATGGCATTACTGTAAACATTCAGAAATGCCAAATCGGAACTGACTCCTTAGACTTTCTAGGACACACTATCGATGCGCAAGGTATTCGACCCCTTAGAACAAAAGTGGCGGCCATTCTGGATTACTCAGAACCGACCACCATCAAGTAATCGCGCACGTTTAACGGTCTGGTAAGTTTTTATAGACAGTTCATTCCCAAATATGCCTTAATTATGAAACATCTTACCGACCGACTTCGTGGAAATGCGAAATCCATTAATCTAGATGACACTACCCGAAAAGCATTCTCTACGGTTAAGGAATATATCGCCCGAGCAGCAATGCTTGCCCATCAGGACCCTAAAGCGCCCATTAGCATCGCAGTAGACGCATCCGACTCAGCAATGGGAGCAGTCTCACAACAACGAGTTAACCACTCCTGGCAACCCTTGGCATTTTTCTCTAGATGGTTGCTAGACACTGAATCGAGGTACAGCATATTCGGTAGGGAAGTCCTAGCTATGTATTATGCTGTACGGCATTTTCAACACTATATTGAAGGCCGTGAATTCACTCTTTTTATCGACTACAAACCTCTTACTTTCTCATTAAGCTCATCTTCAGACAAGTACTCACCACATGAGTCTCGACAACCGGACTACATTTCTCAGTTTACTTCAGATATCCGACACATTTCTGGAGCAAACAATGTAGTTGCAGAGTCCTTGTCTCGCATAAATTCCTTCAACAGTTTCCAAGGAATCGACCTTTTAAAACTCGCCCAGCTTAAAAAAGAAGACACTGATCTTCAGCACGAGTTATCGTCAACAACACTTAAACTGCGAATTAAACAGATGGGAACAGGTAAGGAAACCTTACTGTGTGACACATCTACAGGTACGGATCGCCCAATCGTGCCGAAACATTATCGACGCAACGTCTTCAATACGTTGCACAGACTTTCTCATCCAGGTGTTCGTGCAACCATCAAGCTTATAGCAGAACGGTTTTACTGGCCTAGTATGAATAAAGGCGTGAGGAAGTGGGCACGCTCCTGTGTAAGCTGCCAGAAATCTAAGGTGATTAGACATAACAAATGTCCCCTAGGCTCGTTTAAAACTCCCGATGCTCTCTTCGACCACGTTCATTTGGATTTGGTAGGACCTTTACCAGATTCAAATGGATATTCTTATCTTTTAACCTGCGTAGACCGTTTTACTCGATAGCCAGAAGCATTACCCACCAAAGACATTACTGCTGAAACAGTGGCCCGCGCCTTCGTCGAACTATGGGTAGCAAACTTCGGCTGCCCTTCAACTATCACTACAGACCGCGGACGTCAGTTGGAATCTGAACCTTTCCGTTGTCTGACCGCGAAACTAGGAATCACTGGCTTCCGAACGACGGCCTACCACTCACAAGCAAATGGGTTAGTAGAACGTTTTCACCGACAACTAAAAGCGTCACTATCGGCCTCAAACATTTCTCAGTGGACTGACTCTCTTCCACTCGTCTTACTAGGTATTCGCAATGCCGTGAAAGCTGACATTGGATACACTGCATCTCAACTCGTTTATGGTACGACCCTTCGACTTCCAGGAGGATTCGTGAATCCTTCATCCTTTTCGATGAACATGGATCTAACCTCCTACACGAACAGGCTTACAAACGCAATACTTTCAGTTGAACCTGTTTCCACTCGACTACAATCAACTGATGTTTTCGATCAACCTGACCTACGACACAGTACGCACGTCTTCGTACGTCGTATCTCGCATCGACGACCTCTCGAATCAACATATGAAGAACCTTTCAAAGTTCTTCAACGTGAATCTAAATACTATATAATCGATAAGAACGGAACCAACGAAAGCATCAGCATCAATTGCCTCAAAGCAGCGTATTTAGAAGGAAATCCTATTCACGTCGATTTTCCTTCGATGCAATCGCACGACACAACTCCTGCCCTTATAATACCTCAATCGACAGCTGACACACACGTTGATACTTCGGCGGTATCAGAAAATAAACTCAAAACAACGCGTTCTGGAAGAAGAGTAAGATTTCCAGAACATTTGAACGATTATTGCACGTAAGATACTAGTTGACATTTTATATAATCTCGATTTTCCCTTGTACTATATGTAATTTTTCTTTTTTAAAAAAAATTTAATACACTTGTATTTTTATTTCTTTATTTAAAAAAAAACAACAAAAAAACATATTATAAAAATCCTTTTGTTACGCTATCACGTGAGCATGAGTTTATCTTCCATTTTTTCGCCCGCTTTGTGTTTTCACGCGCGTACGAGTGTATTTCGACATGCACTTACATATTTTTTTCTTTTCCAGGATGGCTCGGAAAGACGATAAAAAGAACAATGAAGTTTGCGAAAAACGGAAATCTTCATTGTACTTTTTCTTTTTTTTGCTATGAGTCATCTTCATTTCTATGAGCCATGATGATTTTCAACCTGAAATGTGTCTGGCTGGTTTCATAGCTTCTCTGAGATTGTTATCATTAAAATGTGAAAATTGCGAAAAGTTGTGCACTTTTTACGTTACGAAATGTTTTATGCCAATATCCCCAAAAAATCCAAACAGGTTTAGTCATAATTTAGCTCAAGATGGGCACTCTTAAGCTAGCATAGGATAGATAACAGCTTTGTATCCGCCTTTTGGGAGCCGCACAGTCATGAAATGTGCTGCTCTACTCAGGCACTCCTAAGGAAATATGACATTATTTACGTAGTAATTAGTGCATTCCACACTAGTTTACCGAAATTTCCTTCTCTTCCGTTTAAATACCACTTATTTTGATCGTTGTGTAAAGTATTTCGAAGACCATCATTGAAAAACACGGAAAGTCGTTGTATGGACTCACTTTTCATCCTGTCATAGAGTTTGACTTCAGTTTATTAATTTGTTTGACTAGAGTCAAAAAATGGATGGAAAGTGGTACAGGTAGTTATAAATGTTCATAATACCGTGATAATGATTCTTGAAAATCGTTTATACTTAGCGTTTTGCTGGTTTTTTTAACTGTAATTTGTTTGTTCCAATCATTCACTTTATATTTCAGGTTTTAACTCTAAGGGATTTTCTAACTTCTCAAGGTCGGATCGGGATAGCGAGTGTTGACCATTGTTGGTTTGTTATGGCGTAAGTTCAGGTGAATTCGCTCACTCACCGACACACTATAATGCATTACCTTTAGTTATTTTCGTCCTGCGAAGTAGAATTAATATACACGGCCATCTTATGTCCACATCTGCTGTAACATTCTCCATAGCACATTCAATAACTTTATCGTCGGCTTTTATACCGGTGAATGTGATTCGGCTTGTTCCGTCTAGACATTGGTGTGTTTTTCATGTTTTCTGACTTGAAAATAGCTTAAATCATGGTGGGCGAGTGTTTATTGAATTATAGCAAAGAAAGCTATGTTGCAGTGTAAAACAGTTCGCAACTAGTTAAATATGTAAACTTTGACATGGCGAGACTATAACTTATGGACGAAAAAGTTAAATTTGAGATGGCGTGCATTGGGTTCTAGCACGAACTTTTTTTCATTGTTATGGCTAAATAGCGTTTTGGCATTTTAGCCTTTACCAGTTTGTGAGGAAAATCATAAATCCCATTCCTAACCTCAGTCATCAGAATCATAGTTCCAATCCTCCACATTGGTTTATATCCCTCATTCAGCTCTACAAAATGGTGAATATCTCCGAGGTCAATATACCGTCTCTAAAAGGCATCCATAAATTATAGTCTCACCGATCGAATAGTGAAAATCGTGAAATGATACTGAACTAAAGATTTAATGACAGATCTAAAAATAATCGCGACTCCATTGACTTTTTGTCATTTCGCTCAGTGTCTCTACCCATAAAGAACGATTTTCTTAAACCATAACCTTAACTTTCCGAAATTTATCAGGCTAGTAGTCAGATTGATGTATCTTGATCTTCCCCACTTAGTTTACCTGGTGCAGGTGGTTGATACGATCCCTTCGGGTTAGAACTGACGAAAGGTATCGTTTTTCACGTATTAGAGAATCTATTTTGCTAAGTAAGGGGCAATAGTTTTGTACGGATGGTTAACGAATATGTAATTAAATTATGTGTTCTGGGGAAATGCATTCGTTTTACATTAGACAAAATCTTGGTTTTGACACAAAACATCATCTAATTTTTCCCTATATGTAGTCTTTAATAAATTCACGGAAGACACGAGATTTCATAAAGTTATAACGAAAAAAATGAAGTTACCCCAGGTTATAGATTACTTGCAAACTACTTTGTTTTTATTAATTTTCTTCATGTCATATTTCGTTATTTTAGTGAGTGTGCCGTGGCCACAGCAAAAGCAAATGTTATGCTGTATGATTCGAAGGCTAGTACTTGGATCCCAAGTGGTCCAGGACATGGTATTTCCAAAGTTCAACTATATCACAACACGTTAACTAATGCCTATCGAGTTGTCGGATGGAGGTTACCAGATCGCGAGGTATAGCATGATTAGTGGTTACTTTCTTAAAGTTCTTAAAAGACAATTTTTTTAGTGCTACCTAATAGAGGTCTTAATACAGTTCTTTTCTTTTGTGCTGATTATAAAGCAGTAGCCTTGTCTTTTAGATGTGCTTATCACTGAACGACATCAATCAAGTAACCATATCCAAATAAAGATCCTAAAAGCTCATTATATCTAATTCATTTTTAACGGTTAATCGAATATTCTTGCTGTTAGTGTTAAAGAATGCTTTAGTGGCCCGATATCTGATTCCAGTTAGAACATATGGTTGATTGTCATTGAGTTATACATATCGTCACTCGTATAAAATTATAGACTTAACTCGCGTCGGTGAATAACGGAATTAAATAGGTCAAATGCGAGAATGTATGTTTAAATACATATATTTTGTACACTCGATGATCGGAACAGATAATCAGAGAATTACAGCGAATGAAGCGAAAAAGAAAGCAAAGCGAAACAAAAGGATGCACGGTGGACAAGGCATGTGAAAAACTCCATTTAGTCAAGCGTTAATCGATATTTATAGTCAAACAAAAATAAGCTTCAGACATGTGATGAGTAGGATAAGATGTACAAACATACGCTCATATAAAGATAGTCAGGGTTGATAAGTGAATAATTAACAAGGTCAAAACGTGACTCAAGAAAATGGATGAATTGGCCTGTCCAGAAGCTAGAATAAGTTGTGTGGGCTTAACATAGTAACCGACATTGCACTGTAAATGACCAGTCCCTTATGACATGTGTGTATCTTGTGAGTATCCTCTCAACACTCCCTTCAAATCACTATATCTTCTCTGATTTGGTTCGTCAATCTTCTATTGTGGTCATCCAAATGTTTTTTGCATATCTATGTACATTGTGTATCTACCTATTACTTCAGAAAACTAGTATTTATCGCTTTACTGATTGGGTATAGTTTACGACATCATTTAGTTATCTTCCGATATAATCGACAGACATTCATCATTTGTCAACTTGGTCGAGCCTGTGTGGCACAACTACCATGTGTAATTTTGAAGTGAGCCACCAATTCCCTCTTATTTTTAAAATTAGTAGTAGTCATAATCATTTGACAGTATTTAACATTTGAAAGTCAATTAAGCTCTTGAACCGGGTTGGTGGATATGGAGGATTCACATAGGGGAGTTGCAAAACCCCGATTGCAAACCAATGGTGCACACGGGCTCCGGAATTCTGAGGGACCAAATGGCATATGAACCAATTGTTGAACACCGGCTACCGTGGGACTGCGTCTCGTGACGTTGTTCCACTGTCTTGTGGATCAGACCTTTAGATCGAAAGCTCTGGGTGTGGCCCCTTAGGAAAACCACTTGCTTCGGTTCCTGCACATGGGCATTATTGCAGCCCACACACAAATCAAGTGCCTTGTGTAGCGCGTGTTTGTTCGGTGCCCCTTTTTACCGATATTTATGTGTTCAAATAAATACATAAGTGACTGTATTAAAGTATTAAAAACCGTTGTCAAGATGACTTCAGTGTTACACTTGTCTCTCTAACTAATACCAATGTTCAGTGTAGATTGTTTCTGCAACCAAAACAGTTTTTCTAAAAACTCTCAGTGTTTTTATAGCCATCTTATTTTATATCATTAATTTATTTTTTATAACTTATTACCGTTACTAATCTCTGTATATATGACTATTAGGTTGTTATTAATTGTGCCATTGCACGCGGGTTAAAATATCACCAAGCGCGTCCAACGTTTCATCAATGGCGTGATAGTAGACAACAAGTTTACGGTTTGAATTTCACATCAGTTGAAGAAGCAGATGCATTTGCTGCCGCTGTTAAATCAGCCTTAGAAAGTCTAGCTGCACTACATTGTCAACAGGCTTTACAAGCTCAACAACAACAATGTAAGCCTCCTGTCACTTATGATCAGTTGGTGTCAAATGAAACAACAACAACTACTATTCATCAAGATATACAATTAAACCAATATCAACAATCAAAATACCGAATACCAAATCAACAGCTATCATCGAATCAACAAGCAACTAACTATACTAATAATAACAACGAAGCATATTCTGCACAACCCACGGGAATATTAGTCCAAAATCGTCAAATTTCATCCTCTGTAAGTGTGTGTACGTTTTTTGTATCCTCACTTTTGAATTTTATAACCCCTCATATCTAGTTATAACAATAATTGTTTAATTTTAACGTTGACGTACTTTTAGAGATAACACTTTTCTCATCTAAATTTTCAAGTGTTGAACTTCTACCGGGAGATTCACTTGTTGACTTTGAATATGCCGATGACAGTTCTATTTGGTGAAGATGCTGACAAAATGCAGTCTCCTGACCACTCTGAGGAACAATGCAAGCATATTCGGGATGCGATTCTCCCCCCTCGAAATGCAAAATGTTGCTTCAGGATTGGGTTGCATCGACACTCGAACTAGTGATAGGGAGTGAAGTAGTTGAGCGTGTCAACCACTTCACTTATCTCGGAAGTCTCATCAGCCCTTGTGGTCTGGTGTGTGACGAAATCTCAGCACGGATACAGAAGGCTCGACTAGCTTTTGCCAGCTTGCATCATTTATGGCGTAGGCGATTTATCCGTCTATCAACCAAAGGACGTGTTTACTGCTCAGCAGTTCGTTCCGTCTTACTTTATGGCCATGAAACATGACCGGTAAGAGTAGAGGATATTCGTAGGTTACTAGTATTCGATCATAGGTGTCTTCGAAATATTGCTCGTATGTTCTGGGACCATCGAGTAAATAATACAGTTGTTAGGAAATGGGTACTAGGTAAGGATGGCAAATCAATTGAAGTAGTGAAACTTCGTCAGTTGAGCTGGCTGGGACAAGTTTTACGTATGCCCAACCACCGACTGCCCCTACGGAAGAAAGCTAAGGGTGGCCAGATCAAAACGTGGCACAAATCCATGAAGTCACTGACAAGTGAACTGAGCCATGTTGGTAGATGTAAACTACCTGGTTAGGATCCGCGAAATGATAGCAACCGATGGTTGGAGATCTTGAATGACATGGCTCAAAATCGTTTGCAATGGCGCAGGTGCATCCACTCTTTGTGTTCTCCCGAATTCTAATCTGAATTCTTCATGTCCTTTGCTTTTTTTATCGCCAGATTTATTTCACTGGATTATACTTCTTTAATAACATCTTCAAACCCTAATCTTTCCGATTACTGCTTATACTTTTCGACTTCAACCACTACGGGGTTCGAACCGACAATTGTACTTCTCTGCTAATTTGGTATAGCAACTTGAACTGGTGTACGTACGTACGAAGTTCTACGTTGTTACTGACTGACTAACTGAATAATTGTATCCAGCTCATTCATCTAGCTAAAGTATACCTTCTTCTAGAGGTTAAAGTTACAATTACCCACCCAACGAAGTGTGTAAGCTCCACAACTCTTCTAGTAGAGAAGAGCTTTGAAAAGACGATGCGACTGGACACCGGAGGATATGTGAGTATAAGGATATTTTCCTATCACTTTTAGGAGTTTTTATGCATATCAAAAGCACTGATGAGCTACTAATAAGTTCACCAGTGAAGAAACGTGAAAAACTATTCCAAAGTATGCTTCATATATATATATATATATATATATATATATATATATATATATATATATTCAAATGCAGGTGTCATAAATACACAAATTCCAGCGATATGCATATTGACATAGATAAGCGCGGTTGCTAGTATGCTGCACATGTAATTACAGAAAGTGTAAGCATATCCATACTTCCCACGGACACACATAGGTATAAAAGTTTCCGCTTGCAAATATACGATACAGGTATATATAGAATGCATAAGACAAGGCCCATGCACTCTAAAGTATACATGTAGGCATAGATGCGAACGCTCCAGGCTCTCAAGTCCAACAGCGTTTTCACCGAATGAATATCAAGTATTCAAATCAGTGTGTAAATCGTCATAAACGACGTTTTCAGTTCACGCTCTTACCATAAACCGGTTTAGTGTCGACCACGGTGTACTGGTTACGACACAACTTATGGTCTATAATCTGAATCGCCCCCGTCAAACCTTATTGGCCCTTCCAGACTAGCCTGTTTAGGCACTAAAAGGAAAATTCCCTTCAATGCCTCAGCCGTGCTATCAATTTAAGTCGACCTCTCTTCTCATATAATCAAGGTTAAAACTGGGTGAATAGTCTGGTCGCCGTTTGACTACGGAGTTGTTGGTCAACCCGGTCTCCACAATGCTGCTTATGTTAGTTCATGGGGAAGAAGATCACCCACTATCCAAGGAGCACTACGTGGAAATGCAAGTTGAACTTTGCACCCCTTCTAAATATTGGACCATCAAAATGGAAGATCTTTGTAGATTTGAGAAAGTTAATTAGTAGCCGTTCAGTTATTTTCTTCACCGCCACCAAATGCCCTGGTATGGCCGAGAGTGGGGTGGGTTCGCCCTCCCTCTCGAAATACTCTCACACGGCCACGCGTATTACAGCCTCTGTCAGTGAAGTCCTACTCACTGCCTTCTCGTGGCATTACTGTTGTTTACGAAAATGAGAGGACGAAAAGCGAATTTCCGGCGCTTTAACCGGATCCCAAATCAATGGTGCACATGGGCCCCAGTATCCTGCGGGAACAAATGGAATATGAACCAATTTTTGGTCACCGGCTTCCATGGGACTGCACTTCCCTACGATGGTCCACTGCATTGTGGATCAGACCTTTAGGTCGAAAGCTCGGGCTGTAGCCCCCTAAGAAAACCACCTGCTTCGGTCTGGGCACTCGGGCAGTATCTCAGCCCACACACTAAAACATGATGGACTATCTACTTATGGAAAATATTCTTTTCGCTCCGATTTACAATGAAATGACTCGCACTATTATTATTATTATTTACTACGTCATTTATTCGCTTTCTCTTATTCCCACTTTATGTATCCTTTTCGACTTAGACAGCAGCTTGCCTATGGTGGAAATTCGGTTCTATCTAAACGTTCTCGAGTCACTACCTGGTTGAAAATTGTATGGTACCACCGAATACGAGTACTGAAGCAGTTTTTCTGAAACCACTTGCACCATTCAAACTGGCTGCCTTTAACGTCCGCACACTCATGCAGGTCGGACAACAGATAGGGCTGGCTATGTCTTTGGAAAGTCTTAATATTGACGTGTGTTGTCTATCCGAGACCCGTATTCAAAACTGTGGTGAAGTACTACAAATTCGCTCTCCATCTGTCGCTTCAAAAAGCTTGTTTTACGTGCGTTTATCCGGGGACCCTGTGGCATCTTCGTCTGATCTTGCTGGCGTTGGTGTCTCACTAAGCGCTAGAGCTGAGGCAGCACTAACCGACTGGATCTCCATTAACAGTCGGTTATGTGCTGTAAGATTAGAAAGTTCTATCAAAGTGAGAAGAAATCGGCGTGAGAAACGATGTCTTTTCGTCATTTCCGCCTATGCCCCGACAGATTGCAGCCCGGATGCAATCAAGGATGAATTCTACCACCAGTTAACTGTTCTTCTCCAGAAAGTGCGTTCGACAGATATTGTAGTACTAGCCGAAGACGTGAATTCTCAGGTTGGGCGTCTAGGCACAGAAGAGAGTCGTTTAGGTGGCCGATGGGGACTTGTTAGTCGCAGGACAGATAATGAGAAACGTCTGCTGTAGCTGTGCATAGACCACAACCTGTTTCTGGCTAGCACTAACTTTCGGTACAGTCATCGCCGATGTGCCACCTGGCGTCCCGCTTCTGCATCTCAAGCCTGTACTCAGATTGATCACATCGCGATCAGCTACGGCTGGCGTGGTTGTGTACAAGACTGCCGCTCCTTTTGGAGTACCTATCTGGAATCTGATCATTTTCTGGTCTGCGCCAATCTCACCTTACTTTTCAGTGGCCAACGAAGTGACCGCCACCAAAGGATTGATGTTAGCATGCTGGTTGCAACTTCTGTTGCTAGTAAGTAACAAACCGAGCTGGCTTCTAGGCTAGCTACCACTCTACCGAAAAGTATAGATGAGCATTGGGTTCGCGAAACGTCCCGCTTATAAGCACTGGGTTTCTTTTGGTTCCTTACAACTCATTGAAGCCCGTCGGTCTACTCCGGTTGACCGTGAGTATGACCACAAACGAAGAATGTTACATACTGAAATTGGGCAAAGCTTGCGTAAGGACCGAGAAACCTGGTGGTCGGAGCGTGCTAATGAGCTGGAAGCAGCAGCTGCATCTGGCAATTACCGGAAGCTCTTCCAACTCATCCGAGCCACTAGCAGCAAGAAGTCTGGTGTCAGCGAAACAATCTGCGAGGATGACGGAACGCCAATCACTAACATCCATCGACGTCTTGGGTGATGGGCAGAATTTTTCGAAGGGCAGTTCAACTGGCCTGCTGCTCCAGCAACATCGGTCAGATTGTCCTGCCCTCCATGGCCGGTAACGACTGATCCACCAAATGAGGTGGAAGTCCGCAAGGAACTCCAACTCTTGAAACGCTACAAATCACCGAGCCCAGATGACTTTCCTCCGGCTCTTTTTAAAGATGGTGGTGACCTTCTGACTAAGGGATTGGCGACATTGTTTACAAAGGTCTGGGAACTAGAAAGTGTACCAACGTCATGGAATGAGTCGATAGTTGTCCCTATCTTTAAAAAGGGTTCACGTTGTTCCTGTAACAACTATCGAGGGATAAGTCTACTTCCAATTGCGTCCAAGCTATTGGCTTCCGTTATACTTCGTAGGTTGTTCAAAACCCGAGAAGGATTGACTCGCGAGGAGCAGGCTGGGTTTCGTTATGGTCGAGGATGTATTGATCATATCTTCACCCTCCGCCAAGTGTTAGAACACTGTCATACTTATCAAAGGCCAACAATCGTAGTGTTTCTTGACATCAGGGCTGCCTTCGATTCGTTGGATAGGACTGTTCTCTGGGAGTGTCTATTGAAGAAGGGTGTGCCTGAGAAGTTTATTAACATCCTAAAAGCCCTATACACAAACGGCTCAGGCAGATTGAGGGCATGCAACCACCTCTCTCCATTGTTCCACTCGAGCAGTGTTGTTAGGCAAGGTTGCCCAATTTCACCATTCCTCTTCAACTTTGCCATCGATGACATTCTGGA